CCCTCGCGACTCGACCAGGCCGACACGGACGGTCTTCTCGCGTGAAGTCACACACGAGGGAAGTTCCCTCGCGACTCGACCAGGCCGACACGAACGGTCTTCTCGCGTGAAGTCCGGCACGAGGGAAGTTCCCTCGCGACTCGACCAGGCCGACACGAACGGTCTCTCGCGTGAAGTCACACACGAGGGAAGTTCCCTCGCGACTCGACCAGGCCGACACGAACCGTCTTTCTCGCGTGAAGTCCGGCACGAGGGAAGTTCCCTCCACCAGGCCAAAGAGGGTTCTAAGAGTACGTGTGGTCTACCATAGACTAATAGGGATAGATGTAGTGAACAGTAAAAACAGTCTTGTCGATCTTTAAAGCTTCCTGACCATGTTTATCCAATACAATATGATAAGTGCAATACATGAAAAAATCAACGTGCAGTACATGAAAAAGGAAGTCAGTGTATTTCTCGATAGAAATTAGAATAAAGAACGCATTTGATTCCGAACAACTTTCCGTTTAGTACGAAGTTAAGTGATCTTGAAAAATTAAAACTGTGTACATCAGATTTGAACAACCTGAATCAGTTAGAACATATGAAAGAATACTAAAAACAGGAAACGTTATATCGTTGCACCAAGAGCAAACAATCAAAACAAGCTTACCATCTTGACTAATTATTCTATGACTATATAAAAAAACAATAGTCAACACAATTGGACTTGAGCGGAAGGACTAACGTTAACCCACTGCAAGCACACAGCCCATGTATGGCATGTGGTGTTCACCAATTAAAACATACATGTAGATACTCTTCACATTGACCAGAAGTAGAAATGCACATCACACAGCAGAGGAAAGTGTATTAAGTAAAGTTGGGTCAATTTGGGGTAAATTTGACCTGTCACAAATAAAATATTTCTGTGGACTTGTTTCAAAATACAACGGGTCATCTTCCTTTGTATTAAAAGGGAAAGTGGTGGAACTGTTGGCTCTACGCACATCGTGCAAGAGGACTGAGTGAGTGAGTGAGTGAGCACAAGGTATACGCAGATCAAAATATCGACCACTACCGTCGCCCTGTTCAGGATCGATATTGACCAAACACTAACGTAACCTCGCACAGTCACACCAAACTCACCAAGGCTCATGAGCAGGAATTCACAGACCATCTAAACTCTTTTGATCCAGACATCAAATTCACCCCGGAGAAGGAAAAGACAGACCCCCCCCCCTTTATCGACACCTTTTACCAAGATCCAAGAGGATTGTTCACTGCGCTTAAACATCTACCGGGAACATACCCACCCACACAGACCAAACTACCTGAACTTCAGAACCAATCACCCTCTTGAACACAAGCTTGGTGTCGTTAAGACGCTGTTCCACAGAGCCGACTCCATAATAGCGCATCCTCACGACAAAGAGACAGAAAAACAGCACACCCAACAAGCACTGAAGGACTATGGGAACCCTTAGTGGGCCATTGACAAGGCAACCGCGCCGAAGCCGAAACAAGGCGTAACGGAGGAACGAAATAGAGGGACGAAAGGTGCATTACCCGCCATATGCATAAAGACCGTCTTGGAACCACTGCGCAGAATATTTTACTTCACATGGAATCTCCACTGCTTCAAACTCACTAACACAACCACTAGCCTCTGGTGACACGAAAAGACAACATTTACAGAGAGGATAAAGAGAAGTGCGGCGGCGTCTACCGAATTCCGTGTCAGGTAACTACAAGAAAAGGGATTTACTCAGGCGAGACAGACCGATCGTTGGGACCTGGACGCCATTTTGCTGTCATCACAAATCTTTAAACTTATTGACATCGAGTCACCGGACCACACCGTTTCCTTGGATAGAGTTTGGTCATAATCAATCCTGAAGAAGGCGACAGTAGTCGTGGAAAATTTGATCTGCGTATACCATTTGCTGGAAGAAAGTTCATCATTGCACTACTCACAGGCTTTTTTTGCCTTCACCCACTCTCCGGGCGGCAAAGTCATGTCGTCCGCGAAGGTCACAGTTGTGACTATGTCCTTGAAGGGACGACTCTGCTCTGCCAAAAGCTTTCTGGTTTTTTTGTCTGTCTCCCTTTTGTAAATCTCAGTCTCGGCGTCTCGTTCATACCATACCAGACGCAGGGTCTGCCGGGCTGGGTTGACGGCGACGACCTTCCCGAACCACGGCTCAGTGTCTTCGCCGTCGTTGACCACTTCGCTCACTACAACGAAGTGGCCAACCTTGTACTCGCTCTCCTGTAAAAACAATGAAACAAAGAGAACTGCGTGTTAGTTGAAGTAGCATTTTTCGTTCAGAAGCGGTGGACATGTTATGCGAAACGTTACAAGAAAAATTTAACATATCGCCATATGATTGCCATATGCTCATGTGGGATTTCATATTAGGCGCCTTAGAGCATTTAGGAGGCTCATCTACATGTAAGGGATTGTGATTCCTTGTGATTCATGGCATGCACGCGCGCGCAACTTCTGTAAGATGATTCAATGAATTACTACTTACCGGCAGATCTGTTTGATCTTTCCTCTTCGACTTTCTAGTCGGACCCTGTGTCAAAAACGAGAGACTGTTTGGACTGCATCTTAAATACAATACATTATTATAATAAAACTTGTCTTATCAGGAACACATACACTTTTATATATATACATTATACATCTACGTATACATACTATACTTCGTGGAACAGAACAATGTTTACAGACATGTCGCAATACTTTGTCTTCCCTTCTGAGCATTGCTTTCACTGGTTAGAGAGCTATAGTGATACGTGAAGACAATGACGATTAGTTTCACATACCGGTGGATGTTCCTGACTTTTCCTCTTGATGCTGTCAAAATAAACATGATCATCATTATGAATTAACACAAATGTCACTTCATAGCCAACTGGACATCGTTTTGATTTCCGACACACTACCGGTATTGTCCTTACTTATGGACAATGAAAGCGGTGTCGTTTTCAAATATTCTATACCTGCATCATCTTGAGAATTATAGTTAGTATTACAGTACGTGGTATTTCCTAGTTTGGAAGACGGTGGAAATACGACTTTTCCTAGTTTGGAAGACGGTGGAAATACGACTTTTCCTATAGCCGGTGAGGCTGACATGAACACAAAGTTTAGCAAAGGTTCTGATCTTTCACTGTATTGCATTTCAAGAACAAAATTTACAAAACGGCTTTAATGAATATATTAAGAAATATCAAAGCATATTCTTACCTTGTTTGTTTTTTGTCTAGTGCACCATCTTCATCCTGTTGAAAAGAAACCATGGAATGGTAATGAATTATCCATTACATTTACATATGCTTGATGGAAAGCCCGTCCATAAGTAAAAATATTTATGTTCATAAGTTATAACATTTTGAATTTGCTGGAAAATCAGACGGGAAGCCTCCTTTCAGCAATAATAAAGAGCTCATCGTTGGAATGATTGATGGCAGAACNTATTTTTTCTAGGATATATCATAAGGTAATTGATATGCAGAAAGCATAAACGAGTCTCTTGGGAATAGTTTAATTCTATATAATTATAATTCTATATAATTCTATGTATTGAATTTAGCATTATATATAATTATATATAACACTGTAAGCCACCGTAAACCATTATATATAATTCTATATAACACAATATATAATTATATGTAACACTGTAAGCCACCGTAAACCATTATATATAATTCTATATAACACATTTTTATCATTATATATAATTCTATATAATCTTTCTGACCATTATATAGAATTCTATATAAGACTTGCATCCATTATATATAATTCTATATAACACCTGTCTCTTATATGGAATTCTATGTAAATCTTGTGGCTAACATTGCATAGAATCATAACCCGTCTGACCCATTATATGCTATCTTACATTTTTATGACACTAAATGATAAATATTATCTAAAAACTACAGAAATTTCAGTGGTCCACAGTCATCATCAGGAGGGGGATGTTGGAGGATTTACATGTGACAAAGCAGGAATAAGGTTTAAAAGAGAGTTGAGGTTTACGTGTATATAGGCATTGGCTCATCTGCTGCCTAATGCAATTTCATTGTGTTGTGTAACATTAAGGGGCAATATAGGACAGTAATAGGCACCTGTATAATAGGTATGTGTGGGTCTCAGGGAGTCTTACAACGCTTGTCTTTGGTGCTTGATGACCCCCACCTAATATTTTTGGATGCACTCATCGAGCAGGGCTGGTGGGAACGCTGCCTAGATATATTATGTTTTCGGAGGTGTCTTGAGAGGACCGCACTAAGAATTTCAAAATCTTCTCCGATGTAATAGAATTGGATGGTTCGGGATTTCTGTACCATTAGTGTGAATGAAGTCCTCTGGGCCTACATATTTTATGTTATTGGGTTTCTCAACTTAAAGGTGTGTTGCCCAGTACATAATCAGAACCCTGTATGGAATTCCAGGTCATTCAGCAGTATGCTGGAGGCCGAAATATTAATTTTGGGCCAACAAAATCTCGATGGAATGGTACATGGTATTTGCCAATGCTCAGGTGCGAATTTTAGGTCAATCGGACACAAAATGAAACATTACTTCCCTTTTCACCATGACAAAACATCCATTTAACACATTGTCGTAATACAGTATTTAATTTTATTTCATCACATAAAAGAGGATCTGATCATTGAAGATACAGGCTGGAGCCAGAACATGTGTTGTTGTTTATTGTTTATTTATTTGGCACTTTCAAGAAACAAATACAAAACAACAAGTATAGGAAGGGGAATTGTTTATCTTTGAGAGACGGCAGGTTTTTGCAAGACAAGGCCACTCTCTAAGTCTTAAACTAAAGTGGTCATAACCAGGACATTTTCTGCCTTAAAAGACTTCCTTGCAATTTCTATCATTGACAACCACTGGTACGAACTAGATACCATAGGAATCTAGTCATCATATTCCAGGCTAAATTAAGCGACTTCTTCAGTCATACTAACATGACTTAAGCAGATTGTCACATGTATGACACCTAAGTAACAGCATGTACAAGGTATATAGAACTTAACTACATGTAGGAGTGAAAAACGCATATTTGCACATCATAGAAAGCATGCAATTAATCACAAGAGGTCAAATTACAAGCGGTTTTTGTCTCATTTCCCTCTCTGCGCAGTTCCTAATTTTTCCTGCTCAAGTTGCATTTGGCAACTAAAAGAGTCCTAAGTAGAGCCAACAGTTATCTTCTAAAACTGGGTGACATTCTGGCTGTTGGTAGACAGGTTATACATTTCAGAATAATTACTAGTAGAAGTTACAACTTTTTATTTGTGTAGCAAATGACAACGCTAGTCTAGTACCATGGTTACAAACTACAATGTACATTGTCAATATGCAAGTCACGCTACGGATTAAAAAAATACCTAAAGTCTATTACCTTTACTACAAAAGCTTAAAAAATGAATCATCTGCAGACCGCCCAGGCTCTCCTGTGACTGCAACACTGAAAACAAGGGAAAAAAACAAAGTTAAGAAAAATAATTGGTGAAATACATGTACATGTATATTAGAGAACATTTTTGATAGGTTAGGTCTTTTACTTCTTTCACAAAACGTCAAATGCTCCATTGTAAATGTGTGCAGTTAAACAAAATATGGTGTATTGTTAAACAAGATTTATTTTGGCCAGTGCCAAAGAGCCAATTGAAAGAAGTGTATTATTTACAAAGAAAAATAACTGATTGTGGACAATTAACATTTCTACCTTATTTGCTTTCCGCAGACCAGAACCGCTTAGCCGTCTCCTTTAGTCTTTCCTCTTCACTTTTGGAGGGAGGCAGGAGGGTGACCCCGTCTTTTGATAAATCTACAGCTACACCCACTCTAGCGCTCCAAAGTTTACCAGGAGGTTTTTCCGTGCAGGTTTGTAAAACTGCACTTGTACTTCCTACTCCTCAATGTCACTCTTCAGGACTTTGCCGACGTGGAACCGGCGGGGGGCACTGAAGCAAACAGCCACAAGTTGCCCGGGCTTTATCTCCTTCCCCTCCCAGTTAGAGAGCTGAAATGACAGAATTTGTCTATCAGCAAGCAAGACGATGAAAGCAACAAAGAATGTTGGTTTAACCTTCTATGTGTACCGGTTATTGCATTAAGTTAGGCAGGGAGAAGAATGACTTTTTGGACTGGTGGTTTAACATCCCCATCTAAAAGTTACCAGTCTCATTCATAAGTGAAATTGTGATAGGAGATTTTTAAAACATTGTCAGACTTCTATTTGTGTTTACAATGAGTTAAATGTACATTTATGCCAAACCGGGGGGACATTTTGGGTAATCACACATTCAGGGGGCTTCTACTTGTACCGTATAGGGCCGGCTTCAATACTATCACTAGAGGTAGAACCTGAAAATTATGTGAGCCACAGTCGAAAATTTGACTACCAGATTCTCAAATTGCGGTGTTACATTTTTGTGATGGCGACAACTAAGATGAACAGGACTATTGTCTTTCTAGGTCATAGTGTTTCAAGTTCAAAATTGAAGCAGTTCCGTCAGTCTCTCAGCACAGGGGAAATGAGGTTGAAAAGCCCGCCACCAGGAACCATAACAAATTAGGTATCTGACATGTCATTAGTTATGACCTCATGGCAGAGCTAAATGTAACATATGGAAAAACGAAATGAGGCACACATTTCTGTACTGATTTAGTTAAACCTACAATACAAATAAATTTGTATCAAGATTGAAAAAAAAAATAGTATTCTGAAACTGTTTGGGCATTCTCAGGGTTTCTCAGAAGGTCCTGTACAATCTTGTATACAGACTTCGCAGTATTACGCAGGAGTTGGATAACCGCGGTCTCTATTTCTGACTTCATCTCCCCGTAGTAATTTCTTCAGCCGGCGTTTTTGTGTCGCCTCTCTTCGCATACAATTAGGAACCAGTTAGCAAAGCCAGCCTTCAAGTGACTTTCCCACATGCACGGACTGTACACGTGGAGTTGTAAGGAAGTGTATGCTTGGGCGATGTCACCCAGTCCTCTCATGGCTTTCTTGTTGCCCTGTGCTCAGAACCATGACGAGCACTGTTGTGTTTCTTCGATGCACTTGAAACATGCCCTGGCATTCCGGGTATATTGTCTTATGTCCAAGTGTTCCACAATGGTAACTTGGTCAGGCACGTGCCACAGTTGCTTACACAGCCTGGAGACACCTGCGTCAGACCTGGACTGTCTTCACCCTGCTGGCAAACATTTGTTGCATCACTTCCCGTCTTCCTTTTCTTCGCTAGGTAGTCGACTGCTATCGGCATTGATAGGTTCCCGTCCAAGCTCTATAACAGTATTACGCGGGCCTCGGTTCTACTAACACCTTCAGGGCAGCCCGCTTTTCACGTACTCTAGGTCGACGGGAAAGGTTAGGTCTACATTGGTCTTTGTGGGTCGAACCGGATGGCTGGCTTTAGCCTTGCATCACGACAGGGGTCATGTCGATCATGGGCAAAACATCTGTTGGACTATCACATGCCAATTCATGGAACACAAGGACATGATCGTGCAGTGTTCCACTTTTGGTGGTATATCTTGCAGTTTTCTTGGCGATTGTGACTCTGGACGGGCCACCAAGGTTTATTTTCGCGGAGGCCGGGTCCGTAGTTCTCATCATCAGAGCTTTGGTGGGTGACTGCACGTAGAAACCAATTTTCTTGTTTCGTCCCCTCAGTCTCTCTGGGCGTTTCTACCACTTTTCCTCCACCAGAGTTACATCTTTCTTGCAAATCTAAAAAATAAAATTCCACAAACTTTTACCAAAGGTGATATCAAACATGTACTCTTACATTATATGTGTGTATATTGTTAAACAGCTCAGGCAGTCTTTTTTAATTTAAACCAAACATTTTTTTAAAATTTACTTCATGATTCACCAGAAAACAAGGCTGAAGAGAACTACTCAAAATGTTTTGTACAGCCAGTGAGGACAGATGTTTGTTGACATTAGACTTGAAAAGTTTAAGGTTATACCCATATGGGAAACAATTATATGGTAGGGCATTCCCTAGTGATGTTGTTCCAGGAAAGAAGCTAAATCAGCATGAAACTTCCTCCTAAGAGGTGGTCAATGGAGGAAGAAAAGGCCATTTGCTTCAGTAGAAGTGGCAAGACGTGTATTTACTGAGAATGTTCGAAGTGGGGGCACTAGATCTAGCGAGTGAAGTTCCGTGGAGCATTTACCGCGGAAAAAGTGATAAAATAATCCCTGAGGCTTGCAACATTACTCCCATGTGAGAGTGGTTGTACAGTGGCGAACAAGTTGTTGAATTTTTTAGTCATTCCCGACAACATGAAGCATAAACAATCCAGCATGAAAATTCCCTAATTAGCCTACAACATGTCCCACCCCTTCCCACCAACACGGAGGTCTAGGGAGTACATGTAAGTGGTTAGGCAGGCGTAAGTATTGAGAAAAATGGATCCTCACCGTGATGTGTCAGCGTCATGACTACTGACATAGTCCAGCGCTTCTTCGTTGTCGTAGATCTGCTGCAACATTTCCCTGTAAGTCACAGTCAAAAGATATTGTTTGTTTCTTTTAATTTGAGTATGCATGTACAATGTTCTAATACTAGCCATTAAAAAGAAGACCCAGGTTTTGTTTTCGAAGTCATAACAGCCCTTAGTAATGATTCCAAAAGATACAGTTGGTTGATGGGGAGATTTTAAATTCAAATCACAGTATTCAGTGAGAGGGCTTATATCAAGGAGTATAAGATTGGAATTTGTAATCAATGGAAATTCTGACTCACTCTAGTTTCGAATTCAATCAACCAATCTTCAAGTTGAGCCAAGGAGGTCTACACTATAACCTCCTCGGTTGAACATAATACAAGGCCAAGATTCCATAACTTTCAGAAGACTGATTTGGATAGAAGTTCAAAACCATTTTACTTACGCGAATTCCCGATCTTGACTGGTATCCGATTGGTTGAAAGGAACAGTTGTGTCATTTGCCGCTGGTGTGCTTGCACTTAAAAGTTATGTCAGCCCCTAAAATGGCAGGATTGTCATCTATGGTGCAGAAATGAGAAATGTCGTTGATTTGGCGTGAACACTTGACTGGGGTGTTCTAACAAAACCGTGATGAAAGTTGTCTTTAGTTGCCTCTCCATGCATAAAAAGGAGGGCACGGAACACGGGATTGTCTGCTTGTGTGTTACCGGTACCATCTTTTATACGGGTATCTGTAACTTGTTGTCGGCCCTTTGGAGGTTTACATTGTGTGCTTACTCCCTCGCTTGAACCCACGGCTTTTGTTACTGCATAGCAGATTTTTTAAGGACCTGCTATAGAGTTACCCTCTTTGGTCTATAAACATTTGACGTGTGCTTGGATTGCAACGGACGTATGGTGTGGAATATTCTGCAGTTCTTCCTTCTTCTTTTTGAGGGAGTCCATCGTGTCCTGTAAGGTAGCGGGGAGAGCTGGAGGAGGGCTCCCCGGCGTCGTCTCCGAGCCAGCTTCCGAGTCGGAGGACGGGTCGATATCCAGGCCGGGACAGTTCTTGTTGGCCTTCCCTTTCTCGTGCAGGGCTGTGGGTTGTCCGCAACCCGGGCACTTTTTCTTCCGATCCGCTCGAGTTTTCTTCATCTTACAGAATCGCTCCCTCAAAGTACAGAATTGCTCCCTGTTGCCAGCGTGTCGGGAATGGACTGAGGAGATTCCTGCTGCTTACCCAGCATGCTGTGCGCGAGTAGTATGTGTATCTAATTAAGCCTTTTGGGCTGCGCCCCAAAAGTAACCTTTTTAGTTTTTATGTGGCTTTCGGGTGACTTGAAATGGCTCTCCTATCTCTGGCAGCTCAGCACTGCGTCATTCGACCATACTTGCCTCTTTTCATAGCGTTTTGCGTCTTAAGGGAAAAAGTCGCGTTTTGATTTTCCCATGGATTAGGGGCTTTGCGTCATTCTTAACGAGACGCAGTCATGGCCCCCAGATTGTGCGTCTTTTCCCGGTGCCAGCAGCTGTTGTGGGCACAGGGCCTTGCGTCATTTCCCCAGATTCACGCCCAGGGGAGCTTGACTGGGGTGTTCCAACACAATCTTACAGATGACATTACTAACAATGTACATACTATGTGGGACGTGCATATTTGTGGAGGATGAGCACAATTTCCCAGGACCTTCCGCCCGGTGGCCATGTGGCGCTGTCCCCCGGCAGACTGCCCGCTGTCGTCTGGCCGCTTGTGCATACGGCAATTGGAGCCCGGCTCGGTGTTAACCTAGGACGTGCAGGGACTGCCCTCTCTTGTCTCGCTGCTTTGCTTAGATTTAAATACTGGAGTATACGTCACAATGGGGTGACGTAATGTATAACACTCTGATTGGTTAGTACTTCACATACAACGTTATAAATATTCAAATTTAAATTCGTTTTCTGCTGAGTCGACGATCATGGTCAGGCCTAACAGGTGTTTGCGTTCTGCTGATGTATATAGAAAAATAGGCCATGCCCCAGTCAAGCCTTGACTAGTAATCGGCTCCGAGCAGTTAACGGTTACAGTATCCATGTCGACGTAGATGGCATAAGACAAGGTGTGTCTCAAGAAACTTATTGGTATGTTTTCCGTTTGAGCTTCGTGATGATACAGTGTATTTAACGAATGATTACGATGTATCTCCAATAATACGTCAGTAATTCAGTTATTACTACATCAGTATGTTCTTTTTTTATGAAAACTTCATTTGCTCAAGTGCTCAAGTAATTAATTTGCTCAGAATCAGACTCAATGCAGCAGGCAGTTATCGGTTTAACATATCGTTTTTATTCGTGTATATGAGTGGTATAGTTATTCGGTTGGTGAAGTGTATTCTAGTTTCTCATTAGACTTCCTGCATATATGTACAGTGTCGATTGTTTCAGACACTTCTTTTGGTACTCTAGATGGTAGCTATGACAGAAGATTTTTGGCGCGGTTTGACAAGTCATGCATGGGCTCACTTGCAGTTTCTTCAAGATATTGTAGGTTCAGTTCCTCGACACTTTGATTGGGGTTCTTGTACAAGAGTGTTGGCACTCGTTTCACTCCATGAAAAGTTTCCTTGGAGGCGTCACTGAGTCATTGTTTCTGCAGAGGAATAGTCAACCGTGGCCGGAGACCACGGTGACAGGGACTTCCACGCCACAGGTTGTCCTGGAGATTTGAGTTGAACAATGCACGGACCTGTTCCAGATCCTGCTCGCCCATAAGCCCAGCCCAAAGCCCGAGCGCCGGATGAACGGTACGACATGATTTCACAGGCACTGTACCCTGTGGCACATGTTCCCGGTAGTAGGCCATGGATGATGTTATATCACCGTCTGGAAGACAGAGAGAAACAAGAATAATGCATTGTAGCTGTACTAGTATATCTATGACAACAGTGGTATGAATGACCCGATTAAGCTGAGTTCAATCATTTGTTGATGTAGATGTGGTAGAACCTTATTTATTTCGTCTTGCTTGATGTGACACTACAAACAAGGGTGGGGGCCTGTGATAGTGTGAAACAGGACAAACTTAGACTAGAGGCAAGATGTCCTAACCTTAGCTTGATGATATGTAGAAATAGTTAAATGATTAATGTGTTGAAATGAGTGTTCAAAAGGTCCTTACCACAAGCACCAGATAGTCCATTCCAGAGACACAGGTACGCGTAGTCTCCCGCTCCAAACAGCCTCACCTGCAATTCTTCCCCATCTGTGCTCCTGAAAGTAGAAACAAGATTTTGAGTGATCAGATACAACGCAATTTAGTACTTTTGAAAAAAAAAGTTCTTGTGTCAATCAAACCCATCAGAAATATTATTCAACTTACTTCCACTTCAAAGCTTGTAGGTCTTGTATTTCTTGGGCATACCGGCCGGTTGCCCCAAGGTGAGGTTTTCTCGGCTATCTTTTGCATTAAAAATGCAGAAGACGTTGGTGTTCTTCTAAGAGTTGGGGGACACCTTGTTCATGATCTGGAAGGCCATCTTAAAGGAACCTGCCATGATCCCCGCCGACCTTGATCCATAACTCCTTTTCTGGTTTAGTGTTATTATGCCAGACGAGGGTGGTGTAATTGTACGGGAGAAACATATATGTTAGAGTTTAAACAGTCAACCTGGTTCTACATAGTCAAGAGCCGATCCCACAGGACGACTGCAGTCGTGGATGAGTCTTACTTCATCAGTATTCGCCTTAGGGATAGCACCTAGCGCGCTTACAATCGTCGGTTTAGTGTCGCTCCGCACATAGTTGCCTTTGTTTAGTTCGCTGGAGATTTGAGCTTCAACCTTTGCACGCACGTTGGGGTCAGTCGCTGACTTGTAGTTACGACATTCTACATGGGAAAGTTTTCGGATAGGATGCGAAATCCATTCTGCACGCCGTCCAGCAAGAATTCTTTATCGGGTCGTTCGCAAGTTCATTTATCCAAGATTGGCGGTGTAGTGGTGACTCCACGAATTGCTATTTTTGTTTCTTGTCCTCGTATTGTGGGTGGAGTTCTCCGCACCCGGTGATGCACGCATGGGCGTAGTTACACGTGGCTCGTCGGCATCCAGTCTGGTTCTACCGAAACAACACACGCTCCTACATCAAAGTCGCAATCGAGTCCTTATTTATATCGCATCCGAGACGAGTTTTGACACCGCAATCGAGTCATTAAAACAGCAATCACCAGTCAAGTCTAAAACAACAATCGGGTTTTAAAACAGCAGTCGAGTTTGATAGACAGCTATCGGGTTTTAAAACAGCAGTCGTTTTTAAAACATCAGTCGACATTTTAAAACATCGGTCGAATTTTAAACAACAGTCGGCTTAGGTAAAGTTTGTGGTCTAACAGGTCCTGTTTGGGGTTCGATAACAAGGCTGCACAACGATGGGTCAGGGCAGAGCCGGCGTCATCTTTACCCGATTTCGTTTGAATTTCGCCCGCGAATTTACCAGCGTCTCGCTATCCATCATTCGACAGTTCTACAACCGTCGTTGACAACGACGGTCAAAATAGGAAAACGACAACCTTATTCATTGCATCACAACCGATCGTCATGTAGCAGTCCATCGCGATGTCGCAGCCGAATTCTAGAATCGCAACCGATCACAAAATCACAGTCGAGCATTAACACCGCAATCGAATTTTTATATCGCATCCGAAACTTTGTATCGCAACCGAGTCATTGAAAGTGTACATCGCATCCGAAACTTTACATCGCAACCGAGTCATTGAAAGTTTACATCGCATCCGAAACTTTACATCGCAACCGAGACCTTGCACCGCAGGCGATAGCAAGCGGTCCCTTGTAGAGCGATCGTGACAAAAAGCGATCGCAGGTCACTTCACGGGGGTGGGAAGGGGCGTGGCTCTTTCACACCTTTGTTCACACATACGGCCCAAGTGTATACAGTCGTCTAGTTAGGCATTTTAAACGATCAGTCGCTATCAACCTATCTAGACTTGGGGGGTTGCTATAATTTCCCGCGACAACTTTCACCCGATAATTTCTTGACGGCTTACGCTAGGACTACGAAACTTGGTGACTTTTCCTAAAATATTACGTTATAATTTCGTTCCAAAAATAATCATTCCATTATATTTTTCGTTCCCATGGCAACGGCTTTCTGACAGGTATGTTGGGCCAAAAGTCAGATGTAAGACTCATAGTTTCTCAGATAAATAAGATCTAAGATCCTGTGTTATTAAATGCACTTTTTATGGTTAAACATTCATAATTCAGGGTAATTTGACCGAAATCCAAGATAAACCAGTTACATTCTTTTCAGGTATAACTGGGTATTTCACCAAATGGTTTATCATTACCTCATATTATCTACAGGACAAGTACTACATTTACTAAATTGTCCCTAGGCCCTAAATACCAGCAATATGCCTTAATATTAACTTATTACCTCCATGAAATGGATTTTTCTTCGGGCTGTCCGTCTGTCTGTGTGTGTGTTTCCGACACAGTTGTGACATTGATATCTGCACAACTTCTTGATGGATTGTAATAATTGTCACGTGGGTAGTTATTGTAAAGACTATGTCAATTTTGGGCCACCTTTCGAATTTCGTGGGCAATATCAGAGTTAACCAAGTTCTCACTCATACATGTAGCTACATGGTTTCAGATAAACCACCTGACTGCGAAGACACAGTGAAGACACAGTGGATATTTTTGGGAAGCTTTAATAAAGTTGCACAATCTTCATCACTGACGGCTGATGTCACTGACGTCACTGATCACTGACGTCACTGATCACTGATGTCACTGATGTCACTGATCACTGACGTCACAGATCACTGATCACTGATGTCACTGATCACTGATGTCACTGACGGCTTTTATCGGGGCCTGAAAATCAGTACCACAAAAAAGATATTTAGTGCACAAAAATGCAATTCTAAAAAAAGAATGAACAGGAAAGTCTTTCCAGTTGCAATGTATTACTATTTGTTTCCAAAGTCATAATCCCTCATTATCGAAGAATATATTTCATAATTTTTTGTTTTCTTTTAATGATTTTCCAAATTGTAGTTTAAGTCCTTTGATATGATTTACATGACTGCAGTGCCCTCTGGAACATTACTGGACGTAAAATCATGTGACATATGCAACCAAGGAAGA